GTGTTGCCCTGCGTTCAATAATATTATATTGGTAATAACATTACTATAATAGTTTTTTCCGTGCTGAAATCCATGTTGTGTGTGATTTATCTGCGCAAGATATTATGGCATGCACATGACATATGCATACAGAGGGGCGTGCACAGTAAAGTATTGATCAGAGACGCCACTTTACATGCACAACTGTAACATACTAGTATATCTGAATACGTTTCAGTCGCTTGTTAATGTTTAGACAGCGCCCTCAGTATTGAAATGAGAATGTACGTCAGAATCTTCAATAAAAAAACCAAATGCACTATAGAGATGTATACTAGTAATTGAAACGTTGCAGTCGTCACGTGGCGTCGTAATCAACATGGGTCTCATGCAACGTATACAACACACATCAAATGCTTGTACATTGCTTATAATAAATTAAAACCCTATAATGCTTTAATTATTTATGAAACCAATCTTTTTATCCTATTCCTGGTGCGCCAATTGGTGAGAGAATATATATAATTATGTTGGTCGATAATTCATATCTAAGTAATGACCTTGGCATGTCATTGTAATAGTGAGTACAGCACCGAAGGGTTGAACGTTGAAGTTTACACAGAAACGATTATCATATACCAAATCCCACTGCACGCAATTTCATTATGTTGAAAATTTGATCACGTGGTGTTGTCATCGGGCCAATTTTGCGTAAACGTGCTGAACAACGACGTCATTCGTGTGTTAAAAGATAGACTTGAAATACACGTATTCTTAAGTTACACAGTTACAGTCACTATTTTACCGTGTAGAAATGATCTGAAACGAGCTGCCACACTTGCAGTATCCAACTAGTTGCTAAAACTATGTCTATACCGTCAGTATACACTCATTAGCTGTTATGTGATCACAACTGACACGGGTATTAATGTGTATCTACCATACAATCTTGTGTCCACTGTGATATTAGTTAGCATCGTCAAGGTGTTCGTAGCCGGCGCCTAGCGTGCCATTGGCCTGCCAACTTGTTGCGCCATCATGATGAGCAATAACTATTTATAGTAAATATAACTAATGAATTACCAGCCCGTTCAAAATAAATATTACTTTCCCAGCAGTGTTATTTGACAAGGAAATGTGATAAATTTTTAGTCATTTTTTGCGCGTTTTAGGCTATGGAACGTTGTTTCAGCAGCATAACAGGTGCACTTGCGTAGTTTTGTTTGTTTATGTTTCCTACGAATCTGTGAGAAGAGATATAATTTCAAAATGAATCACAATCTAAAACATAGAACCTTGTTTGGGAAACAGTTTTTTTAAGATCCATGTCCCCCCAAAAAATGATTTGGTTAATCCAGAACTATTGTATGTTTAGTCAATAATTCTGTAACAAGTCGTTCAGCATTCAAATTGAACTTACTGGTTCCATGCACGATTTATTTGGAGGTGAAATGTACATTATTGGTTATGTAATGTTGGCGCATCGGCCTCCAATTTATAAATACCGTCTGAATCGGATGCGTGCGCAGACAATACCATGCCACGTCTGAAAGCTCAGACTGCCACTGATTGTACTCGATTGTGCGGGAAGGCGATATCTCGGAAGTTGTCGACTGCTTTGTTTAATCAGTGAAGACGTGGACGTGAATTAGGGAAACTATTGTGGTGACTTTCTATAGAACTACCGTGACTGTGAATAGAATGACACAGTTGTATGGACAGCGATGACAGATCGCGTTCTGGGATGACAGCGTGAGACGTCATAATAACACACAACAACATTTATAATTTAGGAGTATCCGACGAATGACTTTTACTTGGCAGGCATGGAGAACGTTTCATTGCGCCGCGAATCGAAACAAGTTGCCCTTCGAAAGCTATTCGGGCGAATGGTCAACAACTCTACCGCACACGGTATTCCTAACGCTGCCCGTGCCGAGTCCCTGCCGCGACGACTTTTTTGGTCAGTACTTTTTATGGTCGCTGTAGGGATGTTTTTATGGCAGTTTTCTGACCAGCTTGTTCGTTTCATTGACAGGCCCGTGAATGTGAAATTGAACATATCCTTCAGCAGGGAGCTAACATTCCCAGCGGTCACTGTGTGTAATCAGAACCCCATACGACAGTCTGCGATTGATTTCAATCAAGAACCCCAATCATCTCCACCGACTCAAAATCTCAACCAAACACTCAACGATACGGCGCTTGACGAGGATCTGGGCAACCACGGCGGAACTAATAATAACACAAACTCTCCTCCGTATAACACCAGAAGACGAAGACAAACCGCACAGACGAGCGGGGATCAAAGCGGGCAGGTAAGGCTTCGAAAAATCTCAATGTGCGATGTGGCGTTGACGCCATGCGTTGGCATTTAAATCGAAACAACAAACCATGCTTACACACTCCGCGATGACCACATAAAGCCATTGTCGCTTCGAGTGTCTGAAAATCGCCGTGTACATCAATTGTTATTTATTACGACACTAGTTTTACCGTCTTCCGACCATTGTACGTCTGGCCGAGACGATAGCATATAACAAATACAAATGCTAGACGCGCAGACACCGGACAATGAATAGCAATATCACAAACACGTCTATATAAAAACCAATAAGGTCGTACCTTCTATCATGCAAACTACCTGTCACGGGCACTTCCTTTGAAAATAACATTATATCCCGTCAACGCTCTACACAGCGACGATTTACTGTATTTGGGACCCCTCACATATGTAATATTAATAATATCGATTAGTGGCGTATTCATGTTAAGGTTAACGCACTATTTGTCAAGCAATAGTAAACTACGATTTAATTGTTTTGCTCATTGATAACATAGTAAGGGTTACTCCACAAATTTCCAGTCCTTATTTAAGTTTCCATATTTAAATGGACATTATATTTATCTGGTAACACTATAAGGGGTAATTCCTGCAACCAACAGCTATAAAGTATTCATTATAAATCTGATAATTTTGTTAATTTTATAACATGGCTTTTAGAATTAAAGACTACGTCGAGGTATGCGCGGACGTGCTAGTACATGCATGGTGGTACATCGTATACATCGCTAGTGGACCGTCGTTTAACAGGGAGTTATGTGGTATAAGGTAGAGGATTACTCATGAATGAAAATATCCAAAATTTACCCATTTTGCAATAAATTATGCTCCCGGTAAACATAAGGATATTGACTTTTAAAAAGTTTGGGTCACTAACCTATTTTCCGATAAAATGGTGGTTGTATTTTTAGTGAATGGCGGCCATTTTGTTAGTATTAAAAGGCTTTCATCGGTTCCTATGGAGATATCATGGTGCCGTGCCTCAAATAGTTGACTGGTAATATAGGAAGAACAAAGTTTTATTTTATTCCATGGATTTCATTTGGTAACAGCACACGTTTCCATGGAACAATAGCTTCGCGGGTGTACACAATAAACTAATGAATGAGTGCACACAAATTACGATTTTTTGCTAGCCTAATAATACATTTACGATGTCCCATCTTCTCTATATTTGCGCACACATTCCATGTCGTAGCTACGTTGAAATTATATGTTGTTTTTACTGGTACCTGTTTTTCGATGGTTCGTTTATATAATAATTAATAATAACACATATATTTTATTTTTACAATATTGACTAAAACATATGTCGTAGAAAATAAATGTTGAATCATTCACATTCACAATTTATGTATTGATTAGATGCTGCCAACTTACGAATATAGTAATCAATATTTGTCCCTTTGTGGTGTCTTTCACACATTGTTTCTCGTAGTATGCTATAACATGATCCCGGGTTCACTGATGACACATATTTATTGATTCTCTACATACAAATTCTCTATTCTACAACTATAAGAAGTCGCACTTGTTTACATTTTGCGCGCATGTGCACCACAGCGATGTGTTGGAAAGAACCGGACGTTCGTATCATGGATTGTTTTCTCGGCTTGTGGCGCAGCTCTTATTATTAAACAATACATGTACGTGTTCCATGTTAATTGAACAACCGATAAACAACGTTTACACAACAGATCATGATTGCGAGATGGTGCTGATCAGTGAGCATTATCTTTGTGTGTTTTATTAGCTTTCAAAATCCATTAACATTTTCATAATTGCTAGATGCAAGGCACATTGTAAGCTGTCACGTTAACTCAATTGTAAAGAAAATAATGGTTATTTTTCCGAACTAAAATAGTACATAGATAATGCTTTAGTTCCAGAAAAGCTTTCTATCATGATTGATGACCATATCCATCAATTCAAGCAACATAAATAAATAAACAAATAAACAAACTAGTACGAGGTCATTGTCATGGTGGAAGTCATTTAATAAAATGATTAAATTTTATTTTATTTTTTAGAATTTGATTTATTGCAATTACGTTCTATATATTTGATTAATGAAATACAACACCTGTACGTGAAATTTAGAGGGGGTTGTTCTCAACAAACCGACACCCAACAACATGGCCCTGCACTGCTTGTGTAGTATTAGACTGACTCGAGTGTGTAATCACATTATACTAGTTATGTTTGATATTCAAAAGATATTGACGTGTCACAATTTGACATCTCTCATTAGAATGTGAGAACTGTGTTCTGATTCGATGACGTTCCATGTACTGTAAAATACTTTATTATAACAAGAATTAATTTCAGTCGAAAAGACATTTCGGCTGAATTTTATTTTCACTGATTTTTGATGAGTTGAATGTAAAATATAGAAAAAAAGTGCATTTTCACTGGATTTTATTTTCACTGATTCATACCTTCAGTGAAAATAGCGAAAATAAATTCCAAGTAAAAATCATTTTTTTTACAGAACTCTCAAATATGTGTATAGTTTTTGAACAGTATTATTACAGTATTATCTGAATTCATTCATTCATTCATTCATTCAGGAATCTAAAAATGACCCCCCTCATCCGGATGGTGATAACGGTCCATCTGCGGGTAACAGAGATATGATACGGATCACTGAGATACTGACCGCCTTGCCTACATCGGAACGCATTACACTTGGCCACCAAGCTGATATGTTCATTGTCAACTGTACTTGGCAGGGAGAGCAATGTTACGCATCGTAAGTGTTAGCAGCCATCTTCCAATTTACAGTCAAAGCGGCACGAAGTGGTCGCATCGCGTCGAGTTCGATATGGGTCCCACGCACATGATTTATACAACGCGTGTAAAATGCAATGTTTGTTTGACTGCACGCCCTATGCAACTAGTTACGTTTACTAAGCTATTACGCAGGCTAAGCCAGTGACAGGGTTGACGTGATATTAACACAGCATTGAACATGTACTCTGTTTCAGTAATTTCACCACATTCAGCAATTCCATGTACGGCAACTGTTTTACCATCAACGGCCCGTCAGGTTATATCGATCCCTACTGGACGACCAGTTTCTCTGGCCCCATTTACGGTAAGTTCATTATGTGTTATGCATATTCTTTGATGTATTTCCGATATCAGACCCCCCCCCCCCCCATGATATCAAACCACTCGGCAATTTCATTGGTGCTTGCACGCAATTTGAAACTGTGACGCCATCGGTGGACAATCTCCGAAAACGATAAAACATTGCTCATGTGTTAAGTTGACCATTGTTAATGGCTTACCCGGGTAATTAAGGTAGTTCGCTACCAATAAAACATGAAAAAAATAATCACGGTAAATCATTCAATTATTGTGTTGTGATGATTCACTTACATATAGGAGAATGAAGGCTGTTAAGCGGCCATTTTTGAACATTCTCCATAGATTTTTCATATAAACTTTTATTTATTTATTTATTTATTTATTTATTTATTTATTTATTTATTTATTTATTTATTTATTTATTTATTTATTTATTTATTGAAAAAAAAGATATTAACTTTAAATAAATATGCACATATCAATCAAAAAATGATACTAAATAAGATTGCACACATAGTCATAAATTACAAAGACCTAATCAATAAAAGGTTACTTGATTAAAAAAAAGATATCAATATTCCCGCGTTCGTGGAAATAAACATTTCAAGACATTTTGATTATTGATAGCGGCACTTGATTTGTCTCACTTAAACTTCTCACTTGTTAATGTATGCCATGAGGTGTGTGTATATATATTATACTGACGTCACCATGTATCGTGATATACCTGCCGTGTTGTACTTTGATCTTTTTGATGTTGTTTTGTAAATGTTGTCTTAATATTGATTTTTCTTCATTTACCTGAAAATAATCAGCCATGACAATTCAAAGTCAAAATCTTCTGAAATATTCGCATTAAAACACGAAACAAACAACTAGTAACATAGTTTTATGAAACTTGGTACATATATGCGCTGGGATAATGCGCAGACCTGATTAGTTTTGTGTAAACAATAATGCATACTAATTACCTAATTTGCATAATGATTACTCAATTTTATGCTTTTCTACTAGTATTTCAAGTACTAATCATCGTATTGCAATGGTACTCAGACGTCACAAGACAATGCACAGATCTGATGAGTTTTAGGTTAATATCTGTGCATATTAATTACCTAATTTGCATTATGAATGAACATATTTCAACGAAACTTGGTACATTGATGGTCTGTGACATTGCGCAGACCTTAATTAGTTTCACATTAAAATTGCTGCATATAAATTACCTGATTTGCATACTAATTAGTCATTTTTTTGTCATCAATATCTCAAGTACTTATCATATTATTTCAATGAATCTTGGTATATAGTCTGCGGGTTGAAATCTATGCATAATATTGCTTAATTTGAATAATAATTACCCTGTTTTCAAATTATTGGATTTTAATAAGACTTGGTATATAAGTGCCTTAGAACAATGCATTAGTTTTAAATTCAAATTTGAGCATACTAATGGCATAATCATCACATTGCATTGACATTTGGTTGGAACATGCTCTGGGATAATCCACAGACATGATTAATTTAATAATGAAAAACATGCATATTGATTAGCTAATTATTATTAGCCAATTTCTGATATCTACTTGTGGTAGAGATGCTCTGAAATAAATTAGACTGAAAACCACAGATGTGAAATCAAATGTATTTTCTGTATTATAAACTTCAATAATGTGAATCACATTGTTTTCATGTTGTACATCTCAAATAGCAGACAAATATTAGTTGCCAAGCTTTTTGTTTGAAAGGCTTATTAATTTTGAATATGCATCTTTTTCCCGTGCATATTATGAAATACATATAAAGGAACATTATTACTAGTATACAATTTTTCTATAAAGTGTGTTTTATAATTACATATTAAAACAACATATGGGGCATCGCTGGTTTCTGTATTTTTCATGTCGAGGAGAGTAATTCTACATTGTGTTATTTTATCTTTCGGAGAATTCAAAACAAATATAAAAATAATAGTGAGAAATGCTGTACGAGTCAGTTTTTAAAACCACGATAAATAGAGAAAACTATATAGTTTTTATTATTCAAAGGTCTCAGCCTACAGTTGTTTATTGAACAAGACGAATACATAAAGGGATACACGGCTATCGCAGGGGCCCGAATTGTTATTCACGACCAGGATAAAATGCCTTTCCCAGAGGACAATGGATTTACGATCGCACCGGGAGCGGCCACATCTATCGGTATAAGGAAGGTACGTTGCTGGCGAACACTCACTAACTAACCTTTCCACCACCAAACTTTCTCGCCCAAATTTTCTCATATTCTTTAATATTTCTTGAAATTAACCCTAATTTTGGAGCATAATGTGGGTCAATTCCCAGTTTTTACTCAACTAATTTGGCTAGTTTGTTCCAATTTGGGGACTATTTTGTGAATTGTGATGAAAAAAGGGAGCTGGTGGGGAAAAGGTTAATGTAGTGTTTAATGCGCAGTCGTAGTAGGAACTATATAGACCCCATACGATATATATATACAACGCGTGTGTGCTGCACACGAAATTCTAAAGCGGCTGCTAAAATAGTGTAGCGCGTGTGAAACAGACGTAGTACATATTTCCTATGTAATAAAATAATATATTAAGTAAAATAACTATTATTATCGAATATCTATTTTTTTTCTTGTTTCGTTTAGGTTCTAATCAGTCGGGAACCTGATCCATATTCTGACTGCGTTGAAGAAGGTGACAGTGACTACACCAATATTTATATGGATTCGTACGATGTGGGATACAGCGTACAGGCAAGTAGTCGTTGTTAAGCAGTCTACAGTGTATATGCGATCGTCCAGCAGTCCAAGCAAATGTTGAACAAAAAACTACTTAAGAAAAAGGGGAAATATTTGAACATTTTGTGAATGCAATTTTCGGTCAATCTTGAAAATATAATATGTATCATTGATACATTTATTGTTTTGGAAGGATGGAATTTCAGGTTTTCAAATTTCGACTTTTAATAATGTGAACTTGCGAATTATTGTGCGCAAGGCACTGATGAATATTGTTTTAACAAACGTGACATTCACTCGTAGGCATGTATGAAAGCGTGCTATCAGAGCGAAGTAATCAACAACTGTGGGTGCGCAGACCCGTTGTATCCTTTCCCATATGGTGTCTACGAGGCTTGCAAAACATCGAATTCCACGCAAAGTAAGTAGACCTGACCTGATTGTCGATATTATAATGATTATTGTTAAAACCATCCAAATAAATCAGCATTTCGTGTTTTGTCAGGATAACTGTTCCAATTATTGACTTGCTTCCTAACACGCAGTGTATTGTAAAGCGTTGGTAGAATATGACTATAGTACCGATGGGTTGGAGTGTGACTGTCCACAAGCCTGCTCGTAAGTACCATGAAACCAATCGTATATTATTTGCAACTGTTTTATATATTTACTTATATACCCATAATTTTAAATTCTGCATGAATTCTAATAGCCCTGTTCATAAGGTGCAGGGGGCCTGTATCATGCACGTATATCATCATTTAGCTCTGTATACACCAGAGATAGAAAAGTAAAGAGACCCTGGTTGTGTTTATAGCGAATATTGATTTGGATGGTCGGCGTTTTTTAGAGACAACGCAAAGTTTCCCGAGATGCACGTCATCATATTGATATATCGCGTCACCATTCCTTATTTGGAATTTGTATTTCCCAATAAGGTAGAATGCATGTCAAGTTATCCGAAAATGTACTGATACTGGCTGTAAAATTGAATATAATGTGTATATAAGTGTTTCATTATGATCCTCAAATATTTGTTTTCAATTCACGCTTCTTCTCCAAATTCTCAATCCCTGGTCAAGAAACGCACATTCAGGTGCTAAGTAAGCGATATGTCAACTCAATTCAAAATGAGGCAATAAATTCTCTCACGCTTGTGAAAGTGTGCAAAATAGTGGTCTACCCGACTTTGACTGTAATTTGTTGCCATTTTATTATAACAAATTCTATGAGATATGGAATTAATTTTAACAAGTGCGATTATCGAACGTTGGAGCAAAATCGGATCTTTATTTTGGCGTTGCGAAGTTTATTCGATTTATTTCGATTTCTTGCTCGACCAATCAGAACAATGTATTCAGGCAATACAAAGGATTGTATAATATAATTGTTTTTGTTTTATTTCAGAGATGTCGGCTTCACTACAGAGACTTCCTCGGCAATGTGGCCGGCTAACAGTTACAAGGTGTGATACATTATGCTAATATTCATTATATAGGTTAAACCGTTCCCTCTGCGTTTGCGTAACATGTATGTATGTAACACGATGGAAATTACCAAGCTTTTGTTGTTTAAGTTGTAGTAATGCTAATCATGTCATTTATTATGTATATGTTTAGGAGACCTTGCTAAACTACCTGAAAGGGTCAAACAAAAAACTCGAATCGCTAGTAGGTGATGATCTGAAGAACGGTACCAACAGTGTCAGGTATGTCACGTGTGTGTATTTATTTAAAGCAGGGGGAGTCGTCACCTGCGCGTGCGTCAGATGGTCATAGCGTGTCATTTTTTTTACAAACAAGCGTCTACCCATGAGCCTTTGCGTTTTTAGCGTGTGTTGTTATAATCGCTTGGGACTCAATTCTCGCGCATGCGCGGGTGACGACCCTACCGCTTTAATATCGTCTACTGTATATGTTCATTGACCAGGTTTGACCAGCACTATTGCAATTGTGTTTCCTTTTTTAGACTCAACACAACTATTTTGGTCTCTTGTTCGATCGGACGAAAGCGAAAACAATATTTTGTTTTCAAGGCTAAATCAAAAGTGTGTACCCCTAAAGCTGTAACTATAGCGACAGCGTAGTAAATATTTTCTTCCTAACAAGATTAAAATTGGTAACACAACAATATATAGGCTTCATGGCAAATGATTTCTCCATAATGTCACTTCAAACACGAAATTACTATGTATATTCACTTGATTGCTTAATATTCTACATTATTAAATCACGAATTACTACGTCAGGACTATGAATAAATTCACAGTCACAGTTATCACTTCCGGGTCAAACTTAATATTGATCCCATGCTACCTGTACAACGCGCGTGTGAAATACATTGTTAACAAAAAAAAAACGTGTGCAGCATTTCTATCCTCGGGGGCGGACATCCGGGCATTTTCACCGCTTGGCAACCCTCGCGGTGAAAACAAAGGCCAACAACTCGCAAAAACCGGATGGTTGTTGTGACTCCCCTGAACAGTGTAACAAGATTAGCCCTACGTGTGTAACATATATAAATTTGGTTGTTCAGAATTGCTTCAAAGTTGAGTTTGTGTTGTTTTCTCGAATTTTCACCGGCTCGACCGGCGTTCCACAGCAGCGCGCACAGAGCCCATAGAAATGCATGGTACAGTGATGCGAGTCTTAGCAACGTGGAACGTCTGTGACGTAGCTCCGCTCCCGATCATCATTCAATTTTACCATATTTGAACAATCCATCAACGACGCAGATGACGACCTGCTACTAGTTTAATTACTCATGTGTATATTCCTGAGATACGAAACCGACAATCAACAAATATGAAATGAATCATAAGCCCAGAACTCACACAATACACATTCATTAATATAAAATTGTCAAGGCCAGTTTGTGAATATTTTATAACGTACAATGACACTATATAATTAGATAGAGGTAAACCCGCAAAAAACAAATAACAACCAGTAAAAAATATAATATGACTATATTGTGA